CTTTGGGGGCCGGGGGGGGGGTTTTATTTGGGGGGTCCCGGGGGTGTCGGGACAGCAGCTCCTCACTGCCCGCTCCGGGAGAGCCCCGCCGGCTCCTCCGGGATCCAGGGATGGGTGATGGAAGCTGTGGGATAAAGGGGGGACGCCTTCTGCCCCAAAAACCCCCCCCGGCAGTCCCTTTCGGGGGGCTCCGGGGGCGGCCCCGCTCCGGGTCACGCCGGCCCCGCTCAAATCCCGACCCCCGGGGCCCGACGTGCTCCGTCTCGGGGCATTAACGTCAATTAACGATTAATAAATATCCCTTTCCTCCCGAGAGGGAGGGGTCCCGGCGCGGCCCCGCTGCCCCCGGGAGCGCTCCGGGGCCGGGCTGGGCGCTGCCCCCGCTCCGTGCCCGCGGGCACTCGTGGGGCCGGTCACGGTGCCCTCGGTCACTCTTGGGGACACTCACGGTGCCCTCGGTCACTCCTGGGGACACTCACGGTGCCCTCTGTCACTCGCGGGGACACTCACGGTGCCCGCGGTCAATCGTGGGGCTGGTCAAAGTGCCCGCGGTCACTCCCGGGGCTGGTCACGGTGCCCTCTGTCACTCGTGGGGCCGGTCACGGTGCCCTCGGTCACTCTTAGGGCCGGTCCCGGTGCCCGCGGGCACTCGTGGGGCCCGTCACGGTGCCCGAGATCACTGCTGGGGACACTCACGGTGCCCGCGGGCACTCGTGGGGCAGGTCACGGTGCCCGCGGTCACTCGTGGGAACACTCACGGTGCCTGAGGTCACTCTTGGGACCACTCACGTTGCCCTCGGTCACTCGCGGGGACACTCACGGTGCCCTCGGTCACTCGTGGGGACACTCACGGTGCCCTCGGTCACTCGCGGGGCCGGTCACGGTGCCCTCGGTCACTCGTGGGGACACTCACGGTGCCCGCTGTCACTCTTGGGGACACTCACGGTGCCCGCGGTCACTCCTGGGGACACTCACGGTGCCCGCGGTCACTCCTGGGGACACTCACGGTGTCCGCGGTCACCCCCGGGGCTGGTCACGGTGCCCGCGGTCACTCTTGGGGACACTCACGGTGCCCTCGGTCACTCTTGGGGACACTCACGGTGCTCTCGGTCACTCGTGGGGCCGCTCACGGTGCCCTCGGTCACTCGCGGGGACACTCACGGTGCCCTCGGTCACTCGCGGGGACACTCACGGTGCCCTCGGTCACTCGTGGGGACACTCACGGTGCTCGAGGTCACTCACGGACCCGCTCACGGTGCCCGCGGTCACTCTTAGGGCCGCTCACGGTGCCCTCGGTCACTCCCGGGGCTGGTCAAGGTGCCCGCGGTCACTCGCGGGGACACTCACGGTGTCCTCGGTCACTCCTGGGGACACTCACGGTGTCCTCGGTCACCCCCGGGGCCGGTCCCGGTGCCCGCGGTCACTCGTGGGGACACTCACGGTGCCCGCGGTCACTCGCGGACCCGCTCACGGTGCCCGGTTCTCCTCACCCCCCTGGGACGAGCGGCAGAACGGGGGTGCTGTCCCTCCTGGGGGGCCACAAGGCGTGAGCTCCTTTTCCAGCCACATCTCGGGAGCGCCATCCCCGCTCCGCGGCGGCGGAAAACCCGCGGGAGGGCTCGTTCCGAGGCCCGGGGGGCGAGCGGAGCGCGGCCCGGGCTGGCCGGGAGCGAGGAGAGCAGCGCAGCAGCCGCGGCAGGGCTCGAGTTCCCCTCGCTCCTATTTGGTGGTCACCTCTTCCCATTACCTGCTCCATCATTCATCCGCTTTTACAGTTGATTTATCAAAGGCCGAATATTTCTGCTCGTAAACACTTCATCTCGGCTTTTATCCCACTTTAGATTTAAGAAGCCCCCCCCTCCCAGCTCACTCCTCTTTCAGCCGGTGACGCTGCGAGGATCAGCGCTGGAAAAAAAAAAAAAAAAAAAAAAAAAAAAAAACCCCAAAAAAACCCCAAAAACCTGGATATTCTGGGATCAGCTGAGCCTAAAACCAGAAAAACTCGACTTGGGGCGGAAAAGCGGGGGTCCCGCCCTTGCGGCCCCCCTCGCCGTGCCGCTGCCGGTGGCCGGGGTGCGATCCCGCTGCTGGAATTCCATCCTCGAGCACGGATAGAGTTGTCATCCCCATTCAGCGGCGGTTTATGGCTCTCTCCTCCTCAGCGGATTTTACAACCCGCATTCCACGACCTGCGCATTTTTGCTTTACAGCTTGGCCAGGCCTATTTCCCCCCTTTTTTTCTTTTTTTTTTTTCTTTTTTTTTTTTTTTTTTTTTTTTTACACCCTTTTCCTTTTAATGACTGGATCTTTTCTTCTGAAAGAAGAAAAAAGAAAAAAGGACAGGAAAAAAGAAGAAGAAGGGTTGAGTTTGGGGGGGAAAAAAGGGGAGAAGAGGTGGAAGGATGGGGAGGAGAGGCCGAGGGCTGAGCCCCGGGGAAGAACGCGCTCCGAGCAGAGTTTCCACCCCGCGATCACAAAAACCAGATTGTAGAATAATTCCCGATCAGGAATCCAGGAAATGTCGGGCGGAGGGGAAAATCAGGAGCTGGGCCCTTTCCAAATCCCGTCGGAGGCTGCCGGCCCATCTGGGCTGGGGGCTGAGCCTCTCCCCCTCCTCACACCCCAAAAAAGAGAACCTGGGGTGGGGAGGAACCCCCTGAGAGCCCCAAAAATGCCCAAAAATCCCCTTGGTAGGATTAAAAGCGCGGCACGCCTTCCAGGAGGGCACCCCGACGGCAGATTTGGCAGAGGACGGCCGGGGGCATTTTTGGGGGCAGCAGATGTCTCCCCCTCTCTCTCCCACCCCCCTCTTTGTTCCCGCTCTCATTTCCCCCCAAAACCACTCCCAATTTCTGGGTTCCGCATGAAAACCGAGGCAGGAACTCGGAGTCTGGGAGGGCAGGGAACTTTCTGAACTTTGTTGTTGGCCCTGAGGCCGCGCTGGCCCCCCCAGACGAAGCGAAATAAAATTTGGGCTGTTTGGGGTTTTTGGGGGGCTGCGAACCGCGAGGGCGAGGTGGGCAAAGCCTCGAGCTGCGGGGGAAAAAAATTAAAATTTCCTCCAAATCAAAGGACATTTCGGCCCAGGTTGCGATTATGGCTGGAGCGGTTTTTACAAAAAAAATAAAAACCCAACGAAAAACCCCGAGCTGACCCAAATCTGACTTTTTTTTCGGCAGGAACGGACAGGAAACGAGGCCGGCAGACCTACACCAGGTACCAGACGCTGGAGCTGGAGAAGGAATTCCACTACAACCGCTACCTGACCCGGCGGCGGCGCGTGGAGATCGCGCACTCGCTGTGCCTGACCGAGCGCCAGATCAAGATCTGGTTCCAGAACCGCCGCATGAAGTGGAAAAAGGAAAATAAAAGCGCCTGCCCCGGCTCCGCAGGGCAGGAAAAGGCAGAGGCCGAGGAGGATGAGGAGGAGTGAGGTGGATGCAGGGAGAGAGAGAAGGGGGAAAGGCAAAAACACGCGTTAAAAAATAAAAAAAATTTAAAAAAAGGACTAAATATAAAATTAAATGCTAAGCGCATCGATGATTAAACCCCTAGGAGTGATTCCTTGTGTTTGACGACACTGAGAAAGAATACTACCTATATTAGAGTCTCTTTTTTTGGGTTTTTTTTTCCTTTTTGTACAATAGAATATCTACCTATTCCATGTGGCTTTAGAGTCAGGATAGACACGGTGTGTTTTTTTTTTTTTGGGTTTTTTTTTCCTTTTTGTACAATAGAATATCTCCCTATTCCATGTGGCTTTAGAGTCAGGATAGCCCCGGTGTTTTTTTTTTTTACGTGAGCCTTCCTCTAGCAGCAGTCATTTGTAAATCGCTGTAATTTGTACCTCGCTGTGTACTGGGTTATTTTGTTTTTTTTTTTTGGGGGGGGTTATGAAGTAACGTGGTCGTGTTTAGCACCTTTAATTTAGAAAATGTGACCCGAAAGCCTGAATGCAAATCACATTTAGAGCGTAGAGTCCTGTACAGAATATGAATTATTATTCCTCCTTCCTCCCCGTAACCTCTGTGGTTCTTTTCTCCTCGCGGTGCTCTTTTGTCTGTGGATATTTTTTACCTTCGTTGTTCGAGCCTCTAAGAGGGGGGAAAAAAAAAAATTAAAAAAAAAAAAAAAGACAGAAAAAAGCAGAGGAATTAATATTGTGCTACGTCAAATGTTGTATATCAAAGTAGCAGATTATTTAATGGCGGCGCGTTGCTTTTTTTGTTATTAATAATTATTATTATTATTATTTTCCTTGGTCTGTGATTATTATTCTTCGAAATAAAAAGGAGATCTCCAACAACCTACAGCGCCTTAGGTGCCTCCCTCTTCGGCTCATTAAAAACAAACCAAAAAAAACCTCACATTTTTTGGAATTATTTTGAAATAAAGGTGGTGAAATATCCTTTTACCCCGATTTATCACCCAAATTTCTCTCGTTTTCTTTGGCGCAGCCGATCCATCCGAGATCTCGCTGCTTTTCCCGGAGATTGGGCGAATATCCGGGGAAATAATTGATTTTCGGGGCTCTGGAGATGCGGCCTGGGCTCTGTCCCTCCGTGCTTGCGCTGGGGTTATTCCTGAGGAAGGAAAAAGCGAAAAAAAAAAAAGAATTTAAAGAACCCAGAACGGCCCCAAAGAATCTCCCGCTCCTCGCTTCAATTATCTTCTCCTCCGACCCAATTTTCCGGGAGCCTTTTCCATTCCCCGCGCCTTTGGCCATTTTATTTCTTTATTATTTTCTTTTTAAGGTTCTCCCTCCGCCCTCCAATTACTTTACTGCGGACTGGAACTCTTTCATTAGCGCCAAATAACGCCGGGCATCAAAGAGCGCATAAAATAAATTAAAGCAATTAAACGCTGGGGGAAGAAGGAGAAAAAAAAATTACATATTGTCAAAATGGGAATATCAAAGCAATTTATCCATTTTATTAGATAGTCAGAACAACTTTTTAAATGCAGCCACAGAAATTTCAGCATTTATGTATCAGTATTTCAGTAATCAAAAGGACAAGCTATGGAAGACAAATACAGCATAAACAGACACCATCACCTGGCAGACCAGGCCAATTAAACGCTGGGGGAAGAAGGAGATTAAAAAAAAAATTAAAAAATCAACAAGGCAAAAGAAAAGGTTGGGTAAATTTAAGCATTGCGCCTCGGCCTCGCTCTGCCCCTCCCCGTCTTTTTTTACATTTTTAAAAATTAATTAATTTATTTCCGCGGCGCGTAAAGGCGCGGAGGCTCCGCGGAATTTTACTCGGAGGGGTTGAACGAGATGCGGAGGGAAGGGAATTTAAAAAAAAATAAATAAAAATCAAAATAACAATTAAAATAAGGAACAAATAAACCCGAATTCGGGGAGGAGTTGGCGGTGGCAGCCCCGCACGATCCTCCTCCTCCTCTTCCTCCCCTCGCTCCTTTTTCCCCCCCCCCCCCCCCCCCCACGGTGATTTCGTGCCCCGCCGCATCCTCGAGCAGCTTTTTCTTTTATTTTATTATTTTTTGGGGTTTTTCCCCCCAAAATCCGGTGCCGCGTCAGGGACCCGCGCGCCCCCAGATTCGCTGCTGGCCCTAATTAGGGAAATCCCGTAATTATTAAAGGATCGGCTCGGCCGCTTTTCCCCCCAAATTCTCCAAAGTCTGGAGGGGAAAATCCAGGGAAAATGGGAGGGAAATCCAGGAAAATGACGAGGGAAATCAGGGGGTAAAATCAGGGATAATGAGAGGGAAATCCAGGAAAATTAGGGGGGAAATCAGGGGGAAATCCAGGGAAAATGAGAGGGAAATCTAGGGGGAAATCAGGGGGAAAATTCAGGGAAAATGAGAGGGAAATCCAGGGAAAATCGAGGGGAAAAATCCAGGGAAAATCGGGGGGGAAATCAGGGGGAAAATCAGGGAGGAAATCTAGGAATCCAGGGAAAATCAGGGGAAAAATCCAGAGGAAATCCAGGGAAAATCAGGGGGGAAATCCAGGGATAATGAGAGGGAAATCCAGGGAAAATCAGGGGGGAAATCCAGGGATAATGAGAGGGAAATCCAGGGAAAATCAGAGGGAAAATCCAGGGAAAATCAGGGGGAAAATCCAGGGAAAATCAGGGGAAAATCCCTTTTTCCCGCAGCAGCGCTCGCTGCAGAGCCACGTCGGGGTGTGGGGGTGAAATCAATTAAAAACCCGAAGCCATTCCAGAATTTTCTGGCAGCTCGGCGGGGTAAAGCGGGGCGCAGGGGAGGGGGGGCCGCCTGAGCCGCGCGCACCCCCGGGCTCCCCCCTCCGCTCCCGCGCTTCCAACACCTCCACACCATTTTTCCAATTTTTTTCCCTAATTATTACCACCGTTTTCCCCGCTATTTTTAATATTTTTTTAAATTTTTTCTTAATTTTTTTTTTAAATCCCCCCCCTCTCCCCGCTCATTTTCCCCGCTGTTATTTTATTTTTATTATTTTTTTTGGGGGATTTCAGTGGGAATGGAAGGGCGGAGGGGATTCCGCACCAGGAGCGCTTTTGGCACGGGGGGAAGTCGCTCCTTTTTCCCGGGAAATGACAGAAAAACGCGAGCGGCTCCGAGGGGCGACGGACGGCTCTCAGGTTGGGACAATATTTGGCAGCCGACAGATAAGCCAAAGCTTGCCTCTCCCGGCCCAAAATTCCCACTCGTGCCACGGAAAAGGACGGCGAAAGGTAAGGGAAGGATGCGTTTCCTCTTCGTTTATTTGTTACCGATGTAAATATCTGGATTTTATGTGTTTTTTTTTTGAATGGAAAGATGGATTTGTCGAGCTGGTTTTTTAATCCTGTTTCGTCCTCGTCTCCTCCTGCGCGGGGAGGAGGTGGCGGAGGGGGGGGATGGAAAGATGAAAAAGGGTGGGGTGCTGAAAGAGGGAGGAACGAAAGGATTTGGGGATCTGCATCAGCCGGAAAAAAAAAAAAAAAAAAAAAACCAACAAAAAACGGAGATTAGAGGTGAGGAAAAGACAGAAATAAAGGTGGAAGAAAAAGGGGGGAAATTAATCGAGAGGAATGCGAGAGAAATAAAGGTGGAAAAAAGGAAGAAAGAAAGAAAGAAAGAAAGAAAGAAAGAAAGAAAGAAAGAAAGAAAGAAAGAAAGAAAGAAAGAAAGAAAGAAAGAAAGAAAGAAAGAAAGAAAAAGAAAGAAAGAAAGAAAAAGAAAGAAAGAAAGAAAGAAAGAAAGAAAGAAAGAAAGAAAGAAAGAAAGAAAGAAAGAAAGAAAGAAAGAAAGAAAGAAAGAAAGAAAGAAACCGAGAGGAGGAAAGGAAGAAATAATGAGGGGAAAAAAAAGGAAAAAGAGAACGAGAAAAGAAAAAGAGAACGAGAAAAGAAAAAGAGAACGAGAAAAGAAAAAGCGAGGCAGAAAAGGAGCAAAACCGAAGAAAATAAATACGAAATAGGGAGAAAAAGGGGGAAAGGGGCTGGGAGGATGAGGAGGGAGCGGGGTGAGGTCACCTGGAGACGGCGGGCGTGCGAGGAAGGGCTCGCAGCCGCTGCCCCGGACACCGAGCCCGCCGTGGGCGGCGGTCGCGTTTCGTTTTGTTGTTTTTGGGGTCGTTTTTGGGGTCGTTTTTCCCTGCCCCCGGCGGAACGCGGCGCGGGTTTGGTCGCGGCGAGGCGAGCGCGGTGGTTTGGCGGAGTTTCCGCGGGGTTTTGGGGTTCGCGCTGCTCCCCAGGGTCGTTTCTATCGCGGGTGGGTTTTTCCCTGGAGCTGGAGGGAAATCTGAAAGTCGCTGCCATAAATACAACCAAAAAAAAAAAACAACAAGCTAAAAAACCAAAAAAAGGAGGGGGAATGAAGAAAAAAAAAGGAGGAGAGGAAAAAAAAAAAAAATTAAGAATGAAGTCAGCGCAGAGCGCAGCGCTCTCATTGTGATTTTTATTTTTTTTTTTCCTCTCTCTCCCCAACTCCCAAATGAAGCTGACGTTGGGAAGCAATCAAGCTCCTCGGATTTTAATTGCGCTCCGCAGCTCTAAGGCGCTTTTGGGGCCGGGGTTTCCTCCTGCCCCAAACCTCGCTGTTCTTTCAGGGAAATCTTCACCCGGAGGTGATGTCGGCTTTAATCTCATTTATTTGATTTTTTTTTTCTTTATTTTCCTGGTTATTTCAAGGGCGGGCTGTGAAATATTTGTACGAACCGAGGTGGTTGTTAAATAAGATAATGAAGGAGCGGGACGGAGGGAGAGGAGATTCATTATTTAATCACAAACCATTTTATGACGCGACGATTTATCTGAGGCGTGCGAGGGGGGAAAATGATGGCGAGCAATAAACAGAAGGACGGTTTTAAAAGCGATTTCTTCCCCGAACCTGTTACATTTTCCATCAATCACCGAGGGGGTTGAAAAAATCCCGGCTCGGGTCCAACCTCCCTCTCTCCCTTTCCCCCATCTTTGCTCTGTGGTGTTTTTTTTTTATTTTTCTGTTGGCGCAAGGGACGAAAAAACCAAATAAAAAAAACAATTTGAGGCAGAAACGTCGATTTTAGGCCGATTCTCCGCCGGCAACCACTTGTGGAACCCCCGAGGGCTCGGGGGGATTTTTAACATTTCCCGGGGGAAGGGAGCCGGCCCGAACGCTGCGGTTGGGGAGGGGATTTGGGGGTGATTTTGGGGTGATTTGGGGGCGGTTTGGGGGTTTGGCAGCTCCAGCCCGCCGGTTCATTTGGGGAAAAAGCGAATTAAAAGCCCGGCGGGGCCCATTCCCCGCCGTCTGCTGCCATCTACCGTCGGCGGCCCGCGGACACCGGGGGGTCCCGGGGGGTCCCGGGGGGGCCCGGGGGCTCCCCCAGCCCCGAGACCCCTCCCGGGCTGTCCCCACCTCGCCTTTCCGCGGGGGGGAGCGCAGCTTTCGCCTCCACCTGGAGCCCCCGCGGGTTTTGTTGCGCCTGGAAATTCGGATTTTTTTGGTGTTTTTTGGCGAGGGGGGATCGGGAGGTTTTGCCGTCCCGAAAAAAACGCAAAGGTGAGCTGGCAAATCCCCCGGGATCGGGGCGCGCTCGGTGCGCGGGTGCGGAGGAACGCGGAGGGACCCAGGGGGGGGGGTTTGGCAGCTCGTTATTAAAAAAAAAAAAAAAAAAAAAAAAAAAAAAAAAAAAGGGGGAAAAAAAAAAAAAAAAAAGAAAAAAAAAAAAAAATAAAAAAATAAAAAACCCGAAAAAAAAGAAACCCACAAAAAACCCCGCCGGGGGGGGGGGCTCTTTTTTTTAAAAAAAAAAAAAAAAAAAAAAAAAAAAAAAAAAAAAAAAAAAAAAAAAGGTGGAAAAAATAGAAATAAAATGGAAATAAAATGAAATTAAATGGAAAAAGCAAGAAGTAAAATGGAATAAGATGGAATAAGATGGAATAAAATGGAAAAAGAAAGATTTATAATGGAATAAAATGGAATAAGATGGAATAAAATGGAATAAGATGGAATAAGATGAAAAAAAATAAATAAAATGGAATAAGATGGAATAAGATGGAATAAAATGGAAAAAGAAAGAAATAAAATGGAATAAAATGGAATAAGATGGAAAAAAAAAAGAAATAAAATGGAACAAGATGGAATAAAATGGAATAAAAGATAAAAAAAAAAAGAAATAAAATGGAACAAGATGGAATAAAATGGAATAAAATGAAATAAAATGAAATAAAATGAAATGAGATTAAAAGAAAGAAAAGAAGAAGGCACGAAATAAAAACCATAAAATAAAATAAAAAAAATCAAATAAAACAATAAAAAACTAAAGGAATAAGAAGAACTAAAGGGAAATAACCCGCAATAAACCGCAATAAATTACAACAAACTGCAGGCAGGGGAGCTTTGGCTCCTTCCCCGCCACTCCGGGAGGGGCCGGGGGGGGCCGGGGGCAGACGAGGGGTCACTTTTAAGTTACTGCGGGGACAATGCGTGCCTGTTATTTTAAAAGGTCCCTCCCTCTCTCCCTCCCTCCCTCCCTCCCTCGAGCTCGTTTTCTCGTTTTCTCCTCCTGCCCCGCAGTTCCCTGGCAACTGTTCAGGTCGGGAATAATTCTGCTTTTCCCCCCCCCTAGAAAGTGCCGCGCTCGGAGGCTCCTTTCCAAAAAAAACCCCAAAAAAACAAAAAAAAAAAAAACCCAAAAAAAACCCAAAAAAAGCAGGAAAAGGAGGGAAAATAATGAATTTTTCCGCGCTGCAATTCCGCCCCGCGCTTCTCCCCCCTCGTTTCACCCCCTCTGCCCTCCCGCGGAAATATTCGGGGCTGGGGGCTTGGGGTTCCCCCCTCTCTCCCCCCGCTTTTTTCCTGATTTTGGCGTTAATAATTAGCCGCGCTCCTTAATGAACCGCGGCAGATGATTATCGCTGCTTTTCAAAGCTCGCATTAAGCAGGTTATTACGCGCCGCGCGGGAAGTCAGGTAAATTAAACTGGAATTGCTGGGAATTAACTTCCAGCCGGTTTTGCGCTGGGAGAAAGGCGATTTTTTAAATATTTTTTTTTATTTTTTTAACACCTTCGGGGCTCGTTTTAAAGCCTGGGGCTCGGGTTTATTTTCCGGAGGGATTTGGGGTGTTGCAGGGAGGCTCGGTGGCTGCCAAAGGTTTTTTTTTTTTTTGCGCCTGAATTCCAAGAACAAGGGGTTTTTTTCAACTCTTTTCGTGCTCTTGGCTCGATTTTATGGCCGCAATAATTCCCTCGGTGGGGAAACCCCCGCTGAGAAGGGTCGGGAATTGGTGAAAAAAAAAATAAATAAAAGGAAAATTAAAAAAAATAAAAAAATATTTAAAATATAGTTTATTTTTTTTTATTGGGCACGGAAGTTTCCCAGCAGCGCCGAGCCCTGAGCGGCTCCAGCCGCGCACAAGCCGCGCTCTGTTCTGCCGGCCTGCCCAAATATTTGGGTGTTGTTTTAATCCCCTCATCCCTCGGCTCTGCCGGGGCTGCTGGCCAGGAAAACCACGCGACAAAAAAAAAAATTAAAAAAAATTAAATAAATAAGTACAAAAAAGGCCGGCAGAACTTGTCCGTGCCACGAATTCTTGTCTTTATCTTTATTTATTTCCCGACGTTTGAGCGATGGCAGGAGGGGACAGGAGCGCGGAAATCGGGGACTGCTCCTCTGCGCTGCCCGGCCTGGAATTTGGGGGTTTTTGGGGGAAATGGGGCCAAAATCTGGTTAAAGATAAGCCCCCTCCCCGCTGTATTGCTCCTCTGCGCTGCCCGGCCTGCATTTTGGGGGTTTTTGGAGGAAATGAGGCCAAAATCTGGTTAAAGATGAGCCCCCTCCCCACTTTATTGCTCCTCTGCAGAGCCCGGCCTGGAATCTGGGGGTTTTTGGGGGAAATGAGGCCAAAATCTGGTTAAAGATGAGCCCCCTCCTCATTTTATTGCTGCTCCTCTGCAGACCTCGGGTCTGGAATTTGGGGTTTTTGGGGAGGAAATGAGGCCAAAAGCTGATTAAAGATGAGCCCCCTCCTCGTTTTATCACTCCTTCTATACATGAGGCAAAGTCTGATTAAAGCCGAGCCCCCTCCCCATTTTATTGCTCCTCTGCAGACCTCGAGTCTGGAATTTGGGGTTTTTGGGGAGGAAATGAAACCAAAATCTGGTTAAAGATAAGCCCCCTCCCCACTTTATTGCTCCTCTGCAGAGCCCGGCCTGCATTTTGGGGTTTTTTGGGGAGGAAATGGGACCATAATCTGGTTAAAGATGAGCCCCCTCCTCGTTTTATCTCTCCTTCTTTACATGAGGCAAAATCTGATTAAAGCCGAGCCCCCTCCCCATTTTATTGCTCCTCTGCAGAGCACATTTCCAGACCTCGAGTCTGGAATTTGGGGTTTTTTGGAGGAAATGAGGCCAAAATCTGATTAAAGCCGAGCCCCCTCCCCGCTTTATCGCTCTTCCTTTGCAGACCCCGAGTCTGGATTTTTGTTTGTTTAGGTTTTTTTTTTAAATATGAGGCCAAAATCTGATTAAAGCCGAGCCCCCTCCCCATTTTGTTGCTGCTCCTTTGCAGACCTCGAGTCTGGAATTTGGGGTTTTTGGGGAGGAAATGAGGCCAAAAGCTGATTAAAGATGAGACCCCTCTCCGCTTTATCTCTCCTTTTTTACTTGAGGCAAAAATCTGGTTAAAGCCGAGCCCCCTCCCCGCTTTATCGCCCTTCCTTTGCAGACCCCCAGTCTCTTTTTTTGTTTGTTTAGGTTTTTTTTTAAATATGAGGCCAAAATCTGATTAAAGCCGAGCCCCTCCCCGGTTTATTGCTCCCCCTCTGCAGACCTCGGGGCTGGGATTTTGGGGTTTTTTTGGTTTTCTTTTTTTCAAAGATGAGGCCAAAATCTGATTAAAGCCGAGCCCCTCCCCGTTTTATTGCTCCCCCTCTGCAGACCTCGGGTCTGGAATTTTGGGGTTTTTTTGGTTTTCTTTTTTTCAAAGATGAGACCAAAATCTGATTAAAGCCGAGCCCCCTCCCCACTTTATCGCTCCTCCTCTGCAGACCTCGCACCTGGAATTTGGAGGGTTTTTTTGGGTTTTGGGGGGTTTTTTTGAGGAAATGAGGCAAAAATCTGACTAAAACTGAGCCCCCTCCCCACTTTATTGCTCCTCTGCAGACCTCGAGCCTGGAATTTGGGGTTTTTTGGTGGAAATGAGGCCAAAATCTGATCAAAGCCGAGCCCCCTCCCCACTTTATGGATCCTCTGCAGAGCACATTTCCAGACCTCGAGCCTGGAATTTGGGTTTTTTGGTGGAAAATTAGGCCAAAATCTGATTAAAGCCGAGCCCCCTCCCCGCTCTATTGCACCTCTGCAGAGCCCGGCCTGGATTTTGGGGTTTTTTTGGTGGAAAAGAGGCCAAAATCTGATTAAAGCCGAGCCCCCTCCCCACTTTATTGCACCTCTGCAGACCTCGAGCCTGGAATTTGGGATTTTTGAGGAAATGAGGCCAAAACCTGATTAAAACTGAGCCCCTCCCCGCTTTATCGCTCCTCTGCAGAGCCCGGCCTGGATTTTGGTTTTTTTTTGGTGGAAATTAGGCCAAAATCTGATTAAAGCCGAGCCCCCTCCCCGCTCTCTTGCACCTCTGCAGAGCCCGGCCTGGATTTTGGGTTTTTTTTGAGGAAATGAGGCCAAAATCTGATTAATTTTGAGGAGATGAGGCCAAAACCTGATTAAACCGAGCCCCCCCCGCGCCCCCAAAGCCCGGCTTAACCCCAGGGCTGAGCCTGAGCCCTCCTTGCTCCCTCCCGCCCGAGCTGGAGGCGTCCAAAGGCAACAGAAATTGTCCAAATTGTCCAAATCCAGATCGGCTCGGGACTCGAGGCGGTTTAAATTGAAAATTCCCTCTTCAGAGCCCTGGGAATGGAAACCACCCCTGCGCCGAGCGCTCAATCGCGGGAGATTTAGTGCGATTTAAGACCCCTGCTCGAATTTAAATGTATCAAAGGTGGCGAATCAATTACAGCGCGGGCCTGACCCTCGGCAAGATGAAAACTGGGACAGCCCTCGGGGCTTTTCCTGTTTTTTTTTAATTTTTTTTGGATTCCCTCTTCAGAGCCCTGGGAATGGAAACCACCCCTGCGCTCAATCGCGGGAGATTTAGTGCGATTTAAGACCCCTGCTCGAATTTAAATGTATCAAAGGTGGCGAATCAATTACAGCGCGGGCCTGACCCTCGGCAAGATGAAAACTGGGACAGCCCTCGGGGCTTTTCCTGTTTTTTTTTAAATTTTTTTTTGGTTTTTTCCCACCTTAAGAGTCAAGTTTGTCCCTTTTCCTGCCCCAAGGAAGCGTCGCTAGGGTCGAGTGAGAGGAAAGATTTTTTTTTTTTTTGAATCTCCAGAGATGTCAGCGGCGCGCAATTAGCAAGCCGGCTTCAATTAGCGCGGTTTTATTTTCTTTTAAAACCAAGAAAAACCCTCTACAAAAAGCCCCTTTCCACCACAAATTATCATAACGAGCGGCGCCGCGAGCTGCGGCCCTGCGATGTTTTATTTTTCCCCTATTTTTTTTTACGCTTTCCCAAACTATTTCGAGGGATTTATTTGCAGAGGAGAGGCGGAAAAACACCGGGACAAACATTTTTTTTTTTTATTTTTCCGGCGGATTGCTGTTCCTCACGAGCTGGGCTAGCAGGACTTCCCATTTCTCTGCCCAAAAAAATTTGCATGCGGGGCTGCTCGCGCCTGATAATCTCAGGGGGTTTTTTTTGGTTTTTTTTTTTTGCAGAGCCACAAAAATTGCGTAACCCATCCAACGCACCAACAGCAAAACCTCTCATCCCAGCTTAAAAAAAAAAAATCCCCGTTTTCTCTCCTTTTCCCCCCCTCTACTCATCTCTCCCTCTCAACCTCTTTCTGATTTTTGTTTTGTTTTGTTTTTTAATTCCCCCCCATTTTTATTTTTATATTTCAACCCTGGCCCCTTCGGGCTCCTTCCACACACAAAGGGGAAACTCTGCAAGGACAAATATCGGAGATATCGGCCCGGGGAGGGGGGCGGCGGCTGGAAAACCACTTCCCCTGCCTGTTATTTCCTTGAATTCTGAGCTCCGCGCCGCGGCGCGGGATGTTCCTGGCAGGCGAACATTTTTTTTTTTTATTTTTCCGGCGGATTGCTGTTCCTCACGAGCTGGGCTAGCAGGACTTCCCATTTCTCTGCCCAAAAAAATTTGCATGCGGGGCTGCTCGCTCCTGATAATCTCAGGGGTTTTTTTTGTTTTTTTGTTTTTTTTTGCAGACCCACAAAAATTGCGTAACCCATCCAACGCACCAACAGCAAAACCTCTCATCCCAGCTTAAAAAAAAAAATCCCCGTTTTCTCTCCTTTTCCCCCCCTCTACTCATCTCTCCCTCTCAACCTCTTTCTGATTTTTGTTTTGTTTTGTTTTTTAATTCCCCCCCATTTTTATTTTTATATTTCAACCCTGGCCCCTTCGGGCTCCTTCCACACACAAAGGGGAAACTCTGCAAGGACAAATATCGGAGATATCGGCCCGGGGAGGGGGGCGGCGGCTGGAAAACCACTTCCCCTGCCTGTTATTTCCTTGAATTCTGAGCTCCGCGCCGCGGCGCGGGATGTTCCTGGCAGGCGCGGAACAACCTTGGCCCGGCCGCCCCAAACACGAGCTTCCAAATCAATTAGTCGTAATAAGATCCCGATTTTCGGAGCCTCTCCGGCCGCCGGCGGCCCCGCGGAAGATGTGTAATTCTAGATTTGCGGCGCGCACAATTCGCAGATTTCGAGGTATTTCAGCCCCGACAGACAGATGGTTACAAATTCGGACAGGAAACAAGCCCGGGATAAAAGGCGGCTGATCGGGGGGACGGCGCTGGGCTTCGTTTAGGTGGATTTTCTTTTCCTTTTTTCTCTTTTCTTTTCCTTTTCATTTTTTCTTTTTCTTTTCTTTTTTCTTTTCAATTTCCTATTTTCTTTTTATTTTCCTTTTTCTCTTTTTTTTCCTTTATCATTTATTATTTTTCTTTTTCCTTTTCCTTTTTTTCTCTTAAATACTTTTTTAATTTTTTTTATTTTCGGTTTGGTTGTTTTTGGTTGGTTTTTTTTTTTTTTTTTTTGGCCGGGGTCTCTCTCCGCTGCTGTGACTGATTTTCCCCCTTGAAAAAGCAAAAAAAAAAAAGGAAAAAAAGCGGCCAGAGGAGCTTCAACCCCACCTTGAGCCAGCGAGGATCTCGGGGGGGGGGGGGGGGGGGGGGGGGGGGGGGCCAAGGAAGAAAACCAAAAAAAAAAAAAAAAAAAAACAACAAAAAAAAAAAAAAAAAAAAACCCAAAAAAAGATTTAAACCCCAGAGCAAAGCGGAGCTTTCAGAGGGTCTCCCGCGTTGCCTTTTGCGGGCTTTAAAATGACAAAAAATCGCTGTTTTGCCCTGCGGACGGCCTCGAGGAGGGGGCGCGGACTTTGCGCACCTCCGGGCGCGCTCGGAGCGGCAGCGCCGCGCTCCTGAACCCCCCCGGCGCCCCGGCACGGGAGCGATCGGTAAAATCCGCTTTTCCCCTCAGCCGGGGCTCCTCTTTGGCCAGAAATGTCTGGCATTGACAAAAATCGCGAGAGGGCACAGCGCGGGCCGGGCCGCGGGAGGAGCGCGGAGCTTTGGCCGCGGCCCCGAGGAAATATTTCCATTTTCCGTCCGCGCCCCCAAACGCGGAGCTTTGGCCGCGGCCCCGAGGAAATATTTCCATTTTCCGTCCGCGCCCCCAAACGCGGAGCTTTGGCCGCGGCCCCGAGGAAATATTTCCATTTTCCGTCCGCGCCCCCAAACGCGGAGCTTTGGCCGCGGCCCCGAGGAAATATTTCCATTTTCCGTCCGCGCCCCCAAACGCGGAGCTTTGGCCGCGGCCCCGAGGAAATATTTCCATTTTCCGTCCGCGCCCCCAAACGCGGAGCTTTGGCGGCCCCGGAAAAAGCGCGGAGACGCGGCGGAGGCAGAGCGCGGAGCGCGCAGCGCTAATTGGCGGTAATTAGCTGTCCAAAGCGATTTCTCCTCCCGGAGCGGACCCAGCTCAGCCGCCCCCGCCGCGGGGGCTCCTCTTCGCAAACTTGGCTCAAAAACAACTTTTTTAACTTCATTTCGCTGCCCCTTTCCCCGTCCCGTTCCCCGCAACTCCGCGCATTTCGGGACGAGTCGCAAACGCGAGGGGTTAAAGTTTGGCCAAGGCGAGTAATTAACTTTTTTGTTGTTTTTTTTTTTTTTTTTTCTCTCTTTTTCCCCTCTCCACGCTGTTCTTTCGGGGATCCGCACGCATTTTTTTTTGGGCGCAAATATAAAGATTTCGGCTCTCGCCGCGCCATCCTCGCGGACTGGGCGCTCCGGGGGAGGGAGAGGAAGAGGGGAGGGCGAGGAGGAGGAGGAGGAGAGCGGGGGGGACCGCACGTTTATTTATTTGTGAAGCTCGCAGCGCGCCGGGAGAAGGCTCCTTTCGGCAGATATTATACATTTGGTTAAGGGGGTGCCTTTCTGCTGTTTAAAAGGGAGGGAAGAAGGGGGGGGACGGTTTGTTCTTGGGGGTCCCTGGTGCAATCTCGGCTCCTCATGGGTGCTGTTTTGCAACCTCAGGCGCCTGCTATTGGTCAGCCCGCGATCAGATGGTTGTATTTCCTTGTGTCCCTCGCTGGCACCGCGCCATCTCCCTTCAGCTAAAACCCAATCTCCGATATACCACTAATAGCTAAACCACTTGGACTATAAAACACAACAAATCATAAAGCCCGGGCTTAAAAAGGACGGCACACGCGCGCACACACACACACACACGAGGATTTAAAAAAAAAAAAAAAAGGGGGAATCTTTCTCTCTCTCTCTCTCCTTTCCGATGAGTTCTTATTTTGTCAACTCGACCTTCCCGGTGAGCCTGGCGGCGGGGCAGGAGCCCTTCCTGGGACAGCTCCCGCTGTACCCCTCGGGCTACGCGGATCCTCTGAGGCACTACCCCGGCACCTACGCGGCCGCGCAGGACAAGGGCTACTCCTCCTCTCCTTACTACCAGCAGAGCACAGCAGCGTTCGGCGGCCGCGGCGGCTCCGCCTGTGACTATGGGCCCGGCGGCTTTTTCAGGGACAAGGAGCCTGCGTGCGCCCCTCCCAGCCTGGACGAGGTGCCCTCCTTCGGCGCCGAGCCGCGCAAGGCGGACTGCGCGCAGGGCAAAAGCGCCTTCGGAGAGAGCGAGGAGCAAAAGTGTTCCGCGCCGGTTTACCCCTGGATGCAGCGGATGAACTCTTGCAATAGTGAGTTTATTGGTTTTTTTTTACAGAAATAAATGCATCAATCTCCTCCCTCCCTCTTCTTCCTCCCCCTCCCTTTTTCTTATTTGTTACCGCCAGGGAGAGAGAGAGAGAGCGAGGAGGGGAGCGGCAGGAGGAAGGTTCACTTTTAGAGCCCAAACTTCCAGCGGGGGAACTTGTGAGAGGCTCCAAACACGCAGCAAAACTTCCCGATTTCCACCCCGAGCTAGAAACGCTTCAACCCCAAAACTTCGGAATTTCTGCCCCCACTCCCTCCCCCTTTTTTTCCTTTTTTTTTTTTTTTTTTTTTTTTTTTTTTTTTTTCTTTTTCCCTTTTTTTTTTTTTTTTTTTTTTTTTGCTACATTCCTCTTCGCGTGTCACTCAGCTACAGCGATTTGTCTCTGTCTCTGCCCCACACGCACAGGGAGATATCTTTTCTGAGCCAGATCTGGATGACTTTACACACACAGAGCCCCGACCCGCGCCCCCACCAGCTCCCCCCTCCCTCTCTCTCTCTCTCTCCTCGAGCCGGAATTAAATGATATAAAAAGTGTTTAAATATTTGAAGGCGGACGGTTGCATTTTTAATGCCGCTCGCACCTAATGAAAAGTCAGCCTGGGGAGGATTTTCCTGGTTTTCTCCCCCCTCCCGCGGTGATGTATGACTTCTTTAAGTGCTGTTTCCTCAATCAGAATCGCAACAATAACCAAAAAAAAAAAAAAAACCCCAGATAAGTGTGTGTGGGGGGGTGAAGAGCAATAAAATCCTCCCCGCTCTCCTTCCCCGCGTTCAGACGCATTTGTTGCCTTTTAAGTTCCAAATTGATGTCCATTAGCGCGGGGGACATCAAGCGCCGTGTCCTCTTTAATGCGGACTTTGGGCAGATCGATCCACTTCATTATTGCTTAAATGCCCCGATCTATCAGGGCTTTGCCGGCGGGCCGGAGCGCGGGGAGGGGGCCGAGCACACCTTGCGACCCCTCATCCCGGAATAAGATGGATCGGGCCTTGGCTTTAACCCCCCCTGCCCGGCCGGAGCTGCGCGGAGCTCTGGGAAGGCGCGGCCCCCTCCGCACCGTCCCAAAAATCCACCTCGCTGATCCCCCTTCGCCCCTCCCCTATTTCCCCTTATTTCCCCTCTGTTTCCCCTTTATTTCCTCTCATTTCCACTCTGTTTCCCCTTATTTCCCCTCTGTTATTTCCTCTCATTTCCCCTCTGTTTCCCCTTATTTCCTCTTATTCCCCTCTCTTTCCCCTCTTTAACCTTATTTCCCCCTATTTCCCCTCTCTTTCCCCTCTTTAACCTTATTTCCCCCTATTTCCCCTCTCTTTCCCCTCTTTAACCTTATTTCCCCCTATTTCCCCTCTCTTTCCCCTCTTTAACCTTATTTCCCCCTATTTCCCCTCTACTTCCCCTCATTTCCCCCCTGCTTCCCCTTTTCCCTTCTATTTCCCCCTAGTTTTCCCTGTTTCCTCCTATTTCCATCTCCTTTCTTCTATTCCCCCTTATTCCCCTTTATTTCCTCTTATTACCCCTCTATTTCCCCTCTTTAACCTTATTTCCCCCTATTTCCCCTCTACTTCCCCTCATTTCCCCCCTGTTTCCCCTTTTCCCTTCTATTTCCCCCTAGTTTTCCCTGTTTCCTCCTATTTCCATCTACTTTCTTCTATTCCCCCTTATTTCCCCCTAATTCCCCCCATTTTCTTCTATTTCCCCCCATTTTTCCCTGTTTTCCTCTATTTCCTCTTTATTTTCTTCAATTTCCCTCTATTTCCCCCATCTCCCCCTATTATCTTCTATTTCCCCTTATTCCCCCCTATTTTCCCCCCTCTTTTCTTCTATTCCCCCTCTTTTCTTCTACTTCCTCTATTTCCCCCTATTTCCCCCTAATTTTTAATATTTTCCCCTATTCCCCCCTATTTTTTGATATTTTCCCCTATTTCCCCCCTACTTTTTAATATTTCCCCCTATTTTTTAATATTTCCCCCTATTTCCCCCCTACTACTTCCTCTATTTCCCCCTATTTCCCCCCTAATTTTTAATATTTCCCCTATTCCCCCCTATTTTTCATTTCCCCCTATTTCCCCCCTACTTTTTAATATTTCCCCCTATTTCCCCCCTATTCTTTTATATTTCCCCTATTTTTTAACATTTCCCCCTATTTCCCCCCTATTCTTTTATATTTCCCCTATTTTTTAACATTTCCCCCTATTTCCCCCCTATTTTTAACATTTCCCCCTATTTTTTAATATTTCCCCCAATTTCCTCCCTATTTTTTAATACTTTCCCCTATTCCCCCCTATTTTTTAATATTCCCACCTATTTTTTAATATTTCCCCTATTTTTTAACATTTCCCCCTATTTTTTTAACATTTCCTCCTATTTCCCCCTTACTTTTTAACATTTCCCCCTATTTTTTAACATTTCCCCCTACTTTTTAACATTTCCCCCTATTTCCCCCCTATTTTTAACATTTCCCCCTATTTTTTAATATTTCCCCCTATTTCCTCCCGCTGATTTTCCCTCTCGGCCGCTCCCGCAGGTTCTTCCTTCGGGCCCAGCGGCCGGCGGGGCCGGCAGACCTACACCCGCTACCAGACCCTGGAGCTGGAGAAGGAATTCCACTTCAACCGCTACCTGACCCGGCGGCGCCGCATCGAGATCGCGCACTCGCTGTGCCTGAGCGAGCGCCAGATCAAGATCTGGTTCCAGAACCGCCGCATGAAGTGGAAGAAGGAGAACAAACTGCTCAGCTCCTCGCAGCTCAGCGCCGAGGAGGAGGAGGAGAAGGCGGCCGAGTGATCCCGCCAGAAAAGCAACAAAAAAACCGACGACAATAACAAAAAAAAACAACAACAACAACAAAAAAAACCACCACCACCAAAACCCAACAACTAAAAAAAACCCGACGACAACAACAAAAAAACCAACAATAACAACAAAAAAAACACCACCACCACCAAAACCCAACAACTAAAAAAAACCCGACGACAACAACAACAACAACAAAAAAAAACCCAAAAAAAACCCAACAACTTAAATAAACCCAACAACAACAACAAAAAAAAACCACCACCACCAACAAAACCCAACGGCAACAACAAAAAAACCCCAACAACTTAAATAAACCCAACAACAACAAAAAAACCACCACCACCACCACAACCCAACAACTAAAAAAAACCCGACAACAACAACAAAAAAAACCAACACCACCAACAAAACCCAACGGCAACAACAAAAAAACCAACAACAACAACAAAAACCCCCAACAACTAAAAAAAACCCCTACAACAACAATAAAAAAACCCACCACCACCAATAAAACCCAACGGCAACAACAAAAAACCCCAACAACAACAACAAAAAAACCAACAATAAAAATACCAACTACAAAAAAAAACCCAACAACTAAAAACAACCCAACGGCAACAACAAAAAACCACAACAACAAACCAACAACAACAACAAAAAAACCAACAACAACAAAACCCAACGACAACAACAAAAAAAACCAACACCAACAACAAAAAACCCAACAACTAAAAACAACCCAACGGCACCAACAAAAAACCACAACAACAAACCAACAACAACAACAAAAAAACCAACAACAACAAAACCCAACGACAACAACAAAAAAAAACCAACAACAAAAAACCCAACAACTAAAAAAAACCCAATGACAACAACAAAAAAAAACCAACAACAAAAAAAACCAACACCAACAACAAAAAACCAGAGAGTAAAAGCAACAACCACCATTGCAAAGTCACCTAAAAGGCGCAAAAGGCCGTGAAAAGTCGGGCTTTGGGGAGGGAGGGAGGGAGTGTGAGAGGAGGGGAGCGGGCTGCCGGGGGGGACACGCCGCTCCTGGGGGGGACAAGCCCCTGCAGCAGCGGCCGCCGCCACAAAGTTTGGGCCGCCAACGCCCCGGACTCGAATTCCCGGTGGTTTTGTCCAAAAACGAGCAAAAAACCACACAAAAATCGTCTTTTAGTCGAGTTTTGAATTCTGGTTTTTTGCCCTTCCCACGCTTCCCTTTCCCTCCCGCTCTGCTCCCCTACCCGTACACGAAATTAAATAATAATAATTCTAATGAAAAAGCGAAGAGATGGAGAGAGAGAAGGAGGGAAAGAAAGGAAAAGGGGGAAAAAAGGAAAAAAAATTAAAAAAAAAAGGACTCCTAGCCGTGTTTCTACCCTTGGTGTCACTGTTAGTAATCTGCTAACTCTTGTATTTAATGGAAGTGCTGCAATATTTGTCATTTGGGGTGTTTCTTGTCCTAATTTTGTAAAAATGTTTCATGCACGGTTGACATAAGTTGGGTTTTTAATTTTCTTTTTTTTTTTAATTTTTTTTTTACTCCTTTGGTAAATTAATCAAACCCTGGGGTTCTTTGTAATTAGTTTTGGGGTGTTTGTTTTTGTTTGGGGTTCTTTTTTTTTTTGCCTTTTTATTTTTTTTAATTTTAAAAAGGAAAAAATCTACTGATAGAACGAGTACTACCTACAAAGCTGCGGGGAAAAAAATAAGAAAAAATTAAAAAAAAAAGGAGAAGAACAAGGACAGAAAGTTCTATTTTATTAATTTTTGTACGTGTTGTGTTTGGAGTTTGTCTTAGCTATGAACATGGAATTCTCTAATAAAAGCCAAGTCTTCGATCTCACCCTCACTCCCCTCCCCTGTCATTATTTTTAGAGGATTTTTCCCTTTTCCGGGGGGGTGAAAAGGAGATTTTCGTTGCCCTGGGGGTGACGACGCCCCCGGACCCCCCAGGACACGCAGCTCCGGGGCACGGCAATTTCGGGGCACAGAAAAATCCGATTTTCCCCCATTTTTTTGGCTCTGCTCTGCATTGGAAGCCCTTTCCCCAGGAGTTTCCTGGCTGACATTTCTGCCTTCAGCACCGCTCTCTCTTTTTTTTTTTCCTTTTTTTTTTTTTTTTATTGTTACAGTACAAAGAGTTATGACGAAACGCCGTCCCATCTCCGTAATAAATCAAGGAAACGGGCAAAAATACGCCCTCATTTATCCACCAAAGCTACCTAACATTTGCCCAGCATCTTTCAAACATCTGCTCCCTCGCTCCGTGCCCCCAAATCAAAGAGAAATGTGGCGCAAAAAAAAAAAAAAAAAAAAGGAAAAAAATTGAAAAATTTCCCAGATTTCCAGGGAATTTACCCCGGAAAATAATTCCCAGCGCCAGGAATGAACTTCTATTTAAACTTGGAGGGGGGAAAAGTGGGAAAATTCTGAATTCAGCTGTTTGGGAAGGGCGGAATTTTATTTTTTCTCTCTCCAGCGGCTCCGTGGCTCGGCTGGCGATGGGACGGGGAAGGTTTTGTGCTCCTCGGCGAGGAATTTTCTTGCGAAATCTCCAACTTTGCGTTTGGTGGGAATGGAATGAGATTAGAGGTTTTTTGTTGGGTTTTTATTTTTTTTTTTTTTTTATCAGCTGGGGGATTTAGGGCCGGCTCGGGAATGTGCGCGGGGGGGGGAAAAGGCGAGCAGGGAGCAGCTCGTGGCCACCAGAAAGCCCCGGGTGGGAGCGCGTCCCCCCCCAGCGCCACGAGCCGCTTTTAATGCCAGCCACTTTTAAAATCAATTCATGCAGAAGCCTCACAGCTGTAGGACATTTACTATTATTGCCACGCTTTTCATTGCCCGTAATTATTATAATTATATGTCACTTTCAATATGGCGCGTAATTCCCAACGAGTTGCAGGCGAGCACGCGAAATTCCTGAAGTGCCTCGGAAGGAGGGGGAAAAAAAAGGAAAAAAAATTTAAAAAAAATACGAAAGACAGAGAAAAGGAAAGAGACAGAGAAAAGAGAAGAAGGAGAGGAAAAAAAGGAGAGTGATGCCTCAAAAGGCCGGCGTTTTCCCAGCGTTCTCCCCAATTTCCGAGCGCTTTTGCTCCCCGATGTTCCTGGCAGGTCAGCGAACGGGAAGGGAAACCCACGCAGCTCAAGGCTCAAAAAGGACCTGGAAACGCTCGGGAGCAGGAACATCCCAAAAACCAACGTTACCAGCCATCCCCACCGGCCGCATTTCGCCTCTTTTTCCTTTCCCCCATCCTTTTTTCCCCCAGTTTTTTTTTTTTCCCCAATCCAGAACCGAGACGCGAGCTGGTGGCTGAAGAAAACCTCGACTTTTCCGCCGAGAAACCACCCCAAAAAACCACCCGCAGCTCCTGGTCACCCCTTCCAAAACTGCGGACACGCACAGAGGCCTCGCAGCCACCCAAAACCTCATCCCAAACTTCTCCAGCGCCACAAAACCCGAGAACTCCTCCAGAAGCCCCCCACCCCACCCCGGAGCCCGGGGGGCGCCGAGACCCGCAGGAGGCGCCGCGCCCTCTCCTCCCTCCCCACTTGTTGCTTTCTTTTTTTTTAAATTTTTCCTATTTTTTTTTAACAGTGTGGGGGTCAAGGGGGTTTTTCTGATTTTTTTTTGGATTTTTTTTGGGGGGGAGGGAAGCGGGGGTCGCCGAGGGTGCGGCGCGGCGGCGCGGCCGGCAGGTGGCGCGCTCCGCCCAGGCGGGGGGCGATGGCGGCCGCGGATTTGGGGGGCGACTTCGGGCCTAGAGCGGCTCGGCGTCATTATTTGTAACCATAGAGCATGAATTACCTCTTGAGGTCATCAGCGAGAATTTACGACTGGTCAACAAAAGCACGTGACGCCCAAAACGCGCCCCCCACCCTCCCCCCCCCCATATTTGGCCGCGTACATAGCAAAAACGAAGTACAGTGCATCGCTATAATTCATTAATACATCATAAATCGTCAAGCGCGGGGTTATAACGACCACGAGCCACAAATCAAGCCCTCCAAAATAACCCAAATGAGCTCTTACTTTGTAAACTCGTTCTCAGGGCGCTACCCAAATGGCCCCGACTATCAGTTACTAAATTATGGGGCCGGCAGTTCCATGAACGGTTCTTACAGAGATCCAAGCACCATGCATTCCAGCTCTTATGGCTACAACTACAATGGGATGGACCTTAGCATCAACCGCTCGGCCTCCTCCAGTCACTTTGGGGCTGTGGGCGAGAGCTCCCGCGGTTTCCCTTCTCCAGCCCAGGAGAGCAGGTTTAGACAGGCGTCCAGCTGCTCCTTATCTTCTCCCGACTCCCTGCCCTGCTCCAACAGCGAGAGCCACGGAGGCAAACCCGCCCCGTCCCCCTCCGAGCCGGCTCCTGCCGCCGGCACCACCAACACAAATTTCACAGAACTAGACGAGACCAGCGCGTCCTCGGGAGCCGACGAGGGCACTGCAATAAGCAGCAGCATCCCCCGAGCGCAGGCAGAGCCCATCGCGACCTCCACGGCAGCGACAGAAGGGCAGGCACCTCAGATATTCCCTTGGATGAGGAAACTTCACATTAGCCATGGTACAGCTCCTTCTTTTTTTCCGTCGTTGTGCTTGTTTATTTTTTTGCCGCACAGATTCCCCCCCCCCTCCCTTTTCCACCTCGCTCTTTTTCTCCGCTGTTTCTTTCTCTTTTTCCCCCCCTTTCTCCTCTTTTTTTTTTTTTTTTCCTCCCCCCCCACCTCCAGCATCTCTCCCTTGTTTTTCCCCCCTCTCTCCTTGCCTTTATTCCGCGGAGGCGCTTTGATCAGAATCGCAGCTATTTATTGCTTTTGTATTTCTCGCTCTAAAGCTGCCCCTGGCGCCTGCAAAGGGGTGGGGGGGGGGTCTGCTCTCGCCCGTGTGTGTGTGCGCGTTTTTGGGGGGCGATTTTATTTTCCTTTCGCTCCCCTCGCCGCCAAACCGGCGCTTTTTTTCCAAGCCCTCAGCCCCGCGCGGGTGGTGGGAGAAGGCGATTTAAAAAATTGAGGCCGGGGGGGTGTTCCTCGGGGTGGGGTGGAAAGGGAAGGATTGTCCATTAAAACGGCGCTCGAGGCGCAGATGGGGCACCGTCCTGCCCTGATTATTGTTTTTTTCCCTGGGTTTATTCCTGACGATCTGCCCTTGACAAACCCCCGGGCAGGGGGAGCTGCCCCCCCCCAGCTCCCTCCGTGCCCCCAGCTCCCTCCGTGCCCCCAATTCCCGCTTTTCTGGCGGAGAAAAGAGCGGCTCCGGACCTTGCTGGAGCAGCCGGGCGGCGGAAAGAAAAAGGCAGAGCTCCCCAGAGCTCGATTCCCAGCTGAAATTATGGACACGGAGTGGGGAACGCCGCGGCTGGCGGGGCCGAGGGTGGGGGGTTTCACACGCGTGCCAGGGGGGGTGGGCGAAAAACGACAGAGAGAAAGGGGGGGTGCTGCTATTTGGGGGCAATTGGCGGCTTTCCGCTGTTTAAAAATTAAAATTTCTTTTTAAAAAAGCCGTGAAAAAAATAGGCTTAAAATATAAAAATAAAAATAGGTGAAAAATAGCTGGAATGGGAGCAGAAAGAGCAAACGCAAACGCCGCTGTTGTCCGTGTTACCCAGACATGACAGGACCAGACGGGAAGAGGGCGAGGACAGCGTACACTCGCTACCAGACCCTGGAGTTGGAAAAGGAATTCCACTTCAATAGATATCTCACCCGCAGGAGGAGAATAGAGATCGCCCACGCGCTCTGCCTCTCCGAGCGCCAGATCAAAATCTGGTTCCAGAACCGGAGGATGAAGTGGAAGAAGGATAACAAACTGAAAAGCATGAGCCTGGCCTCGGCGGGCAGCGCCTTCCAGCCCTGAAACCACGAGCGGGGGGGAGAAAAAAAATTAAAAATAAAAAAAAAATGAGGACGAGGTGAAGAGGAAGAAGAGGAGGAGGAGGAAAAAAATATAAAAAAAAAAATAAACAAAAAGGCAACAAAACCCCCCCCGAGCGAATAATGAAATAAATAAAGCAGCGGAGCTGTGGTTTGGGAGGACTGGCACCTTCTGCTCGCCGTGGGGCTGATTTCTCCCAAAAGCAGCTCCTGGGGGTGCTCGTGGCGTGCTGTCTTTTTGGAAGCCTTTTTTGTTTTGTTTTGTTTGTTAAAAACAAAAAAAAAAATTAAATTTTATTTCCCGATGCTCCTCCTGCTCTCGTTGTTCTTCTGAATGTCTGTGTCCGTGCTCTCTTGGTGCTTTCTGGAAAGCTAGCATGTGTTCTGTGAGCCCTTTGAATGTTATAACTTATTTATAAATCCAGAATTTGTTGGTTTATTTGTTGGGTTTTCTTCTTTTTTTTTTTTTTTTTTTTTAATATTTTTTTTCCCGCCCCTTTTTGTTCCGAGTTTCCTGCTCTTGGGTGAGTTTTGCTCTGCCCAAGCGAAAATCGGGGGGTTCCTGCGTTGCAGCCGCAGGAAAAAAAAAAAAAAGTCTTTAAAAACCGACAAAAATGTAAAAAAATAGGAAAAAAAGAAAGGAAAAAAAAAAAAAAAAAGACCGATGTATTGTATCTTTCTGTCTTAAAAATTGTCCAGTCTGTGTTTTAGTCCAAACTCCAGGCCGGGATTTCTAATCCCAGCCTAATTCCAAGGCGTACTCTTAGACGTGGGTGAACTTCACTATTAAAAAATTGCTAATAATAATTAATAACTCGAAAAAAAAATTTAAAAAAAACCGATGTATAAAAGCGGAGAGCCACGCTGGAGCTCTCTGCTGTTTGTAAATATTAGAAATATTTCTGCCGTGAGTAATAGCCGGGTCGTAGTGGGCAGAGTGAATGCGGTGTTCTGTGTAAAAATGGCATCTGTCATGTCTAGCAGCCGGGTAGTTCTTGGCCGAGAAGCTTTTTGTATTTGTTTGTAGCTTTACTCGAAGTCAAATAAACGTTTTTTTCCCCCCGACTCACAAAGGCTCCCAGTCGCCTTCTTGCCCCCCTCGGAAATTCGGGTGCCCGGCGGCTCCTCAGCCCCTCCCGGGCGTCAGAAACGCCCCAAAGTGCCCCAAAATCCGTCCAAAATCCCATCAGATCCAGCCGAATCCCCAAATCCCGGCGCCGCGCGGGGTTCCAAGGCGAAGCGTGCCCCCCAAAACCGCCCGGCCCCCCCAGAACTGCTCGGATTTTCCTGCTCCGAGCCCCCCCAGCTCCGCTCCCAGCGCTTTTCCCCCTCCTTCCCGAGCCTTTCGGGGATGCTCGGCCCGAAAAAAAAACCCCAAAAAAATCCAATTTCCAACGCCAAAGCCGCGCCGAGGATCGCAGAGCCGAGGTTTTGTTAGACCGGGATTATCAACCACACATCTCAGCCTAAAGCCGAGCTTTGCGCTGCTGCTCCTGGGGTTTTTTTTTTACCTCTTAATCCCTGGTTTAACATGGAAATCACGCGCCGTGGCACCGAAATCTGCCCTGGGCTGCCCGGGGAAGCCGCGAGGAGCCAGAAAAGCTCGGTCTAAAGGCGCTCGAGTCGAGCTTAGCGCGACGCCCGAGCCGCCGCTCGGGCTCGCTCGGCCCGCAGCAAGGAAAGTTGAGCTCGGAACTTACCAAACTTTAATCTCTGCCACTGTTTAGGTACTTCTTAAGTGATTTTGAGAGGGATGTGAAGTGGGCTGTCAGATCCCAAACCATTTGCTCGCCTTCCCCTTGGTAATTTTTTTTTTTTTTCCCCCTTTTAAATTTTTTTTTTTTTTTTTTTTTTTTTTACCAATAGCAAACTACCCCAAAAGTGGGTATGACATTTAGATGTCAAATGGATAGGGGGTTTTTATCTCCAAGTTAGATCGTAAAAATCGCCCGGAGCTCAGCCAGATACCCCTCACTGGCTCTCAAAAGTCACGTGAGGTCCATAAAGTTAAGTTTTATGGTTTTGGGGAGTTGACAATGTACAATATATTTCACATTCTCCAGAATGTTAAGTGACACTTTAACTGCTGGCTTTGCCTCGTCGGGGGCAGCGCTGGGTGAGCGCTTTTCCAGATGAGAGATAAACGTTGCAATTGCAGGGTGAAAACAATGTTTTTGCGGGTCCCGGTCTCAGGGCAGAGGGCCCACGGACTGCAGTGCTCAAAGTAAGTCCTCAAATATTCTCTGATTTAACAACAAACCCAAAAAAAAACCCAAAAAAAAATCAAAAAAATCTGTTTGCGAGCGTTGGCGGGGAGCAAAGCGCGGCTGCCTCAACTCTCGCACTTTTAATCCCGGTTTTAAAGAGGATTTCCCACCCGAACTCCCAGGCCCGCCTGGGAACCGGGGGTGGAAACGGCGGAAAAAAATGGGGGGAAATCGGTGAAAAAGCCTCCTCCGAGGGCAGCCCGCCCTGGCAGGGGACGCGAGGCCAAGTTTGGGGCTGGCGCTGTCCCTCGGGGGGGCACAGGAGGCGCCTCGGGGGGGTCGGTGCCGCCCGAGGTTTTTGCATCTCGATGCCCTCTGCTCTCACCTTCGCCTCCAGCCCTCCTCACCTGCTGGCCCGCCCAAAAATCCGCTTTTTCCTCCTCTTCCTCCGCGCCTCGCCTTTGCTGCCGGGGTTGTATTTTTGTTTATTTGGTTTATTTGTGTTTTGTTGATTTTTTTATAATTTTTTGAATTTTTTTTTTTTTGCCCTCAGGCCTGTTTTTTTTTTTTTTTTTTTTTTTTTTTTTTTTTTTTTTTTTCCCTCCTCGGTTTTCCC